GGATAGAAGAAACGATTTTTTTTCTAGAAGGAACGATTGTTTGGATATTTTTGTATACGTCAAAATCTTGATTATCACATAAATAAATCTGATTGGCACAGTTTGCTGTACAAATCTGGATGATCACTCTCAAATATCACTTAAATGAGCGCCCATATGTGTAATTTCACGTGCGCAAAAACATTGGATAGTGATTTATTTATAAACAATACTAATGCTATCGTATAAACCAGACTATATATATATAAATAAATAAAGCAAAAGAACAATGATAAATCAAAGAAATAAGTATTACGCTAAATGGCTTTTACTAAAACGCGCCTATGGTGTTTTACACCTATTGTCACGGGTAGTAAAAACCGTGACCACCCAAAACGTGACTCAAGTATCGATCGAGACCTGGATCGATGCACGATCGACGATCGTGCATACAATGGCGATGCCCCCGGGTTTTGATCATCCCAAAATTGGGTGAAACCCGCATATTCGGGCCCCAAGCCAGCATACAAGTCATAGACGGGCGTATCCCCGGATCGAAGAAGATAATGAAGTTTCAAAATGGCGGGTTTGTGGTAAAAGAAAGAGTCGGGTTAGTAAGAGTGGATAAGGTAAAAATAGAAAATACGAAGAAATAATTTACCCAAATCCGGTAAAAACGTCCAAGTAGTATGGTGAACTCAATGAAAGTGGCGGAATTTATGAATTATGAGCGGCAAAGGCGTGATAAAATAAAGGAAATATTTATAAGGAGGGGAAGTTAAAAATAGAAAAAGCTTTAAAGAACAACGTATATGTTAGAATCTAGGAATGTTTGATAGAAGAAAAATCGGGAAGGATTTACGTAGAAGCCCAAAAATAGTATAATTAAGCGAAGGTTGTAAATTGTATAAAAGGAACGAAGAAAATTAAATAAAGTACTTATCTTTCTTGCGTCTGAAATGAATAATAGTAGGAGCAAAAGATCAAGTGTTAGTAAACTCCTTTCGATAAATAAAACCCATACTTCAAAACCTTAAATAAAAATACAAAATAGTTGGATACTCGCCAAATCGTAACCACGCCTCGATTAAAGCCTAAAAGTCGACGTAACGCGAGATTTCCGGCCTTCTAGCGACAGACTCGCCGTTTTCGCCCCTAACACTATGAATATATTATCCCAAAAACTAGCCAACTTAAGTAAAAATGTTCTACGCCCCAAAAAACCCTTCCCAAGCCTTAATTCGAACCCTAACATGAAAAATTTTGAGTTAAAAATTATATATATAAAACTTAGAAAATCTACAAACATAATGAAAACATATGATAGGTGTCAAACCACCATAGGGCGTTTTATAATAAATGCACTGAATGATAAATATGATAAAAATAAATTGAAATTAGACTAAATTTTATATCGCAATAAAAAACATTTTTTGCTATTTCCCAAAACATTTTTCCCGTTACTCAAACCAATTTTTCGGGTCCCTGGATCGGGTACAATAGGTGCCGTGATCTCCAAATGCATATATAACAATGGAAGAATAGCTAAGGTGTTACATTGAGTATGTAATAGACGTTAATATAATAAGCGAATGCAAATATAAAGAATCAATTAATCTTTTGACTGGAAGCGCCTTCTTAAAGTAAATACTTACGTACAAAGTAGTGTGGTGTGTGTTGTGCCAAGCGAGACCTAGAGTAAAATTAAAGCCGTCTGGGCCAGATTACAGTCACTTCGGTGATTCAAAAAGCAGCACTCACATAGTGTTGTCACGGCCTGGAGAGAGACTCATGGTCTTCGTTGCCAGATTTAGCTTTAAGCCGTAAGCATTAGAATATTTGGTATTTAAAAATAAATGGTTTTTATTATTGTCAGAACAGTTATCCTGCTCTTCTCTTCTTTTTGCAGGAAACAATTTTTTTATGTTTTAATTGTAGACCCGATCTGACCAAACAAATAATGCCTTATTCAGCAGGATAAATATATTACTAATACTTTATATAGATTTAAAAGTGCATATGTTACAGTTGATAATTTAATAACTTTGCTAAAATCTCATATTTTTGCGAAAGGGACAAAATATCCAATATTTAGTGTAAATTATCAATAATATAGGGCTCTAAGAGGAAATTTTCATAGCAGAGCGCTAATTTAGGCTAATTTAATTTCTTACTAGCACTATTAACGAGCTTTCGACGAGGCTTTTTGACTGAGAATGAAAAATTAGAAAATTTTCATACTCAGTCAAAAAGCCTCGTCGAAAGCTCGTTAATAGTGCTAGTAAGAAATTAAATTAGCCTAAATTAGCGCTTTGCTATGAAAATTTCCTCTTAGAGCCCTATATTATTGATAATTTACACTAAATATTGGATATTTTGTCCCTTTCGCAAAAATGAACGATTTTAGCAAAGTATTGATCATGAGCTAAGATTATTTTAGTGCCCGGCTAAATTAGACGGTTAATACGTAAACTATTACTATTAAAAAAATTCTAGACCGTTACAACAAGCTTCTTTATGGATATTATGAATCATGATTCATCAAACTCTATGCAAATCGTCGGTTCGTTATAAAAAGGCCGATTGTTTAAAAATTAACAAGTTCGTAAGATTGTTAATTTACATTATTTGGAAAAAACATGGTAAAAAAATTAATTAAAAATATTATTTAAACTATTTAATGTTGCAGATTAAAATTTTTTAAAAAAAATATTATTAAATGCTAAAAAATAAATTCAGTACGTTTTAATTACTCAAACCTAATCTCAGGAATAATTAAAATAAGAAATTTAGCTTTATAATGGGATTTCAAAGTTAAAATCAGAGAATATTAATTTATTTTTCTTCAACATAGTAAAAAGACTATTGAAAAATCCTACTTATTTTCGAAAAGTGCCACTTATTTGTCAATTTTGAAACCCCTAATACTATCAGTTATTAGTATCATTTACGAATCTACTTATAACTAATGAATCAAAAAGTTTTGTCTTTGCACTTGCAAATACTGCCCAAAATCTTTTTACAACGATTTATTCTTATAATAATTTGGTGTAGGTTAAACATATCGGCGGATTTGTGGAGTTTTGATAAACCCATGAGCCGTAGATCTGGTCAAAATTGCAGATCATTTGGCCTGGTTTGAAATTATCTGACTTCAAAGCTGGCTAAATGATATACAAATTTGACCAGAATTACGGCATATATTTATCAAAATCCCATATATCTGCCAATATAATATTTTCATAACATTTATGTAAATACTAAGGTTCTGCAAACCCGGCACATGCCTGTACAAAAAAAAAAAAATGCTTAAGGCACGGGCTTAACTTGATTTTAAATTGGAGCACAGGCATGTTATAAGTAGGCACTTATATAGACACCAGCACCAGCATAGTGTGCCAACAATACCAGAAATGAAATTTATTAACGTTTAACATTGCAATAAATGAAAGTTACTAAATCGTGAATATATATATTGATGTTATATGGAATCCTTGCTATGAAAATGACCCTCCGAGGCTATGTTGATTTTGTGAATAAAAATTAAATTTGTCAGCCAAGTAATCCAATTTGAATAAACTTTTTTTATTTTATAAATTTCAATAAAATCTACAATTAAAAAAAAATTCATTCAAATTGGATAGCTAGATGGCTGGAAATTTTAATTTTTATTCACAAAATCAACATAGTATCGGAGAAGATCCCATATGTCAAATTTCTATTTTTATAACCATTTTTTTTAAAATCATAAGTTAAAAATTTTCATATTCAAGTTTCACAAGAAACCTAATTAGAACACAGGATCTTACCACTACGAGTTAAGATTATTAATCACCGTAATAAAGTAAAGAAAATTATATTTGAGCATATATAATTGTATAATTTTACAAGTGTAGAACTGTAGAATTGCCAAACCACAATTCTACAAGCGTAGAAGTGAAGTGTGGGATTGATACCTGGGTGCGCACAAAAAATGTACAGCAGATCCTCGATTTTGATTGGCTAAGAGCAACGATCGGCCGGAATTACTATAATTTTACTAACGCTAATGAAATCGCAGCAGCCTATTAAGTAAAGTTACTGGGCCAATTTTACCATAATGCGGGCTTATTTTTTAAAAATTTCTTTTTTTGTAAAAAAGTTAATTCCGGCCAGAAATTAGTAAACAATTATGTAATGCAGGCCAAAATTTTGAAGTTCCTCAATGAAGTGTGGGGATTGTATTATTAACGTTAATGATTGACCTTATTCTGGCCAATCAGAATTGCAGGAAAATGGATAATGCAACAATATAACCTCTGCTTGTATTGTGTTCGATAATCGTCTTCAAAATTGAGTTTGATCCTAATGGGGGATTTAGAAATTATAACTTCATACAATGATATTGTTTTGCCGACTGCATGGGATATTAAAGACAAATCATCGTTTATTGACATAGATTCAAGTAGACTTAAAGTGAATTATACAGGTAATACGAAAATGAGAAGTCTGTTACTGTAATCATGGGCATTTAAAGAATATCATTTTAGCTTTTAATTTATTAAAAACTTTTAATTAAAGATCCTGATGACTATAAAGCTGCCATCGTTCGAGCAAACCATCCAATCCCTTCAGAGTGTGGGATATTTTACTTTGAAATTGAAATTATAAACAAAGGAAAGAATGGGTATCATTAAGATTATTTCATAAACATTACCTTTGTTCTTATGATTTTTTATAATCTTTTAATTATATTTTATTAATAGAATGATCGGAATCGGATATTGTACAAAGCAAAGCAATAAAAAAATCGATGATTCAGCCTATATAAATAATATGCTCATGCCCGGTAATAGCAGATTTTTAATTTATTTTCTTATTATTACAAGTTAACATTTATCATATCCTTTAGGTCAGGAATATAAGGAAAATAAAGAAACTAAAGAAAATGAACAAAATAAGGAAAATGAACCGTGGGGATGTGGTTATCATGGTGACGATGAATATTCTTTTTGTTCAGGAAGTGGCGAGCCATATGATTTACCACGTGATGAATATATCGCTGGATATACTACCGGTGATACAGTTGGATGCTATAGAAATAACATATTATTTTATACTAAAAATGGAATCAACTAAGGTAACCAACATTTTAGAAATTAAAACTTATATTTCTTAAAACAGATATAAGAAATTTAATAATTATAAAAATTTTAAGGAATTGCGTGCCATCTAAACAGCGATTTCAAAGGCATTCTATATCCTTGTGTTGGATTTAGATCACAAGGCGGGTCAGTAAAAGTGAACTTCGGCAATGAAAAATTTAAATATACTGGTAAATTTATTCAAAGGGTTTAATCATTTTTGCTTATTTAGAATTTAACATTGTTTATATATTTCAATTGGCAGCAATGACTAATGAAAACATTAGCATAAAACCAAATAATAATGCACTAGCATTGGAATATCATGAAAAGGTTTATTTTATTATAGGTGGATATGAAAATATGCTTATTAATCTAACCAATGAATTAACAAAATCACTAGAAAAAAAAAGGCCGGTTAATGTATTTGAATTGACCTACAGAGGAAAAATATATTTTATTATGGGCGAATATGATAAGGCATTGGAAGATTTAATTAGATTGCTAAAAATCATGCCAAATAATACAATAGCTTTAAGATATCGAGGTGAAATTAATTATTTGATGAAAAGGTATTATGAATCAATTACTGACTTGGAGAAATTATTAAAAATTAAACCAAAAGACATATGGGCGGCGGAGGCACGTGAATTAATTGTAGAGCTGTAAGTATAATGTGTACTTGTAAATTTTAGCAACTTAAAAAGAAGCTTAAAAGTAATAATAATTTGACCACCACTTATGTTACCACAATAGTTTGTAAGAATTTTATACAGTAAATCACTATATAAATCACGTTCATTCCAATACAAAACTAACATATCCATATCTAAATCACTTGTAATACCATAGCTCGTAAGTACAATAACCGAATTTTTTACAGTAAAACACTACGTATAGAAATCATGTTCGTTCCAATACAAAACTAACATATCCATATCTAAATCACTTGTAACGCCACAATAGTCTGTAAGAATTTTTACAGTAAAACATTACGCATAGAAATCACGTTCATTCCAGTACAAAACTAACATATCTATATCTAAGTCATTTGTATTGTTACCTGGAAATTGCCTTCTAATATCCCTATGACCATTTTGCGTACTACCACGGGATTTTCAGGGATACTATGTGGTTACCCCTGCTATTTAATGATTGTGATATACTTATCAACAACTCGAAGAAGAACTTGATTAGTGTCACGGGCTAATGTGCAACACGGATCATCTCGAACCGTCAAACTATAGATCCTTAAGGATCAAAGGGCAATCACCTTACTAATATTTGTATTGCCCTCTTATCTGTATTATCATACACAGGGCTCATTTTCCCAAATTGTTAAACCATACACATCATTTTTAGTTACCATATCGGTCCTGATATTGGTGATGTATAGTGTAGGGACAACACATGCCACAACATCAATGGTAGTCCCTAAAAGGGTCTATTAGTTACTGCGTCAAAGATCCTAACCCCAAATTGGCTTTATTACTGCTGCTATTTAGACGAAAAGCTATAGCCCACTCATGCCATCCATGCGGATGAGCAAGAAATGAACAAGCTTAAGGGCTTTCCACGAAATTATTATCAAGATCATGACGGATCAAGCCCGGGTCGAGGCCCATTAAAGACAAAGACCCGAAGCCTATACGTGAAATAGTGAAGGGATTGGTGTTGATAAGAATAGTGGGACGATTCATTCATAGATCAATAGATAGTAATAGAATTGTAGTTGTTTATTGTAAATAATTATATGGCTGCGTTTGTTATATAAAGGACGCGAATTAGCCTAGTTAGCTTCTTCAGTCTTCGACATCTCTTTAATAACTATATATCTTCATATATATAGTTCCCTTAATAGTCTAGTTTCGAATACTCCACTTTATAATTCTTTAACTGTCTTCATATAGTTACTTTATTATTATTATTAATAAACTCTTACGTGTCTCCATACACGTCTAAATTCATAAAGTCGTGTTCACGTGTGACTCGTGACTCCTGGTTGTTATATTGTTCACGTGTGAATCGTGATTTCTGAAGTAATATTTAGCCCTATGTATCTTCATATACATCTGGGTTGTTGCCTCTTTCGTAAAAGCCTTACTAAACCTCTTGCCTAAGTCGTTTACCTAACGCCTCTTTAACCTCACCAAATCATAATTAAATAGTCTGTAATAGACTAGCTGCATAGTTCCGGAAGTTGTTCTAAGAGGTCAACTTCATGTGTAACAGTATCACTATAGCGAGTAAGTACAGTAAATCACTATAGAAATCACGTTCATTCCAATACAAAACTAACATATCCATATCTAAATTACTTGTAACACCATAGCTCGTAAATACAATAACCAAATTTTTTACAGTAAAACACTAAGTATAGAAATCATGTTCACTCCAATGCAAAACTAACATATCCATATCTAAATCACTTATAATACTACAATAGTCGGTAAGAATTTTTTACAGCAAAACACTACGTATAAAAATCATGGTCATTCCAATACAAAACTAACATGTCCATATCTAAATCACTTTTAACGCTACAATAGACTGTAAGAATTTTTTACAGTAAGTCAATAACTGAATTTTTTACAGTAAAACACTACGTATAGAAATCACAGTCATTCTAATACAAAACTAACATGTCCATATCTAAATACTTGTAACACTACAATAGTCTGTAAGAATTTTTTACAGTAAAGCACTACGTATAAAAATCACATTCATTCTAATACAAAACTAACATATCTATATCTAAATAATCACAATAGTCAGTAAGAATTTTTTACAGTAAAACACTATGTATATAAATCATGTTTATTCTATATCTAAATCACCACAATAGTTGGTAAGAATTTTTTACAGTAAAACACTACGCATAGAAATCACGTTTATTCCATATCCATATCTAAATTACTTATAACATCACAG